CATGTCGTAGGGAGGGCGTAAGCTTTGTTGTTGGCTCCAATGGTGGAGGTGACTTCCCCACACAGGAGTGGGTCCTTGGAAGTTCCTCACGTGGACGGGAGGTTGTGGGATTGGTGGATTGATAATTTCTGGCTCCGAATCTGTGCCAGAGTCATCTCCTTCCTCCAACTCTATAGGCTCTTCGTCTTCTTCAGGATCTTCTTCGATCCATCCTCCATTACCTTGGTTGGGTAGTAAGGGTCATTGGGGTGATGGAATCCCGCCATGAGTCTGTACGAGAATAGGTTAAGAATTACTATAAGCTAAAGCACATGAAACTTACTCTTAAGTTTAATGGTTGATGACAACACAAAAACTCCCTTAGTATTATGTAATGATGTGCTTTTGGTAAGTTTTAAAATTGTTGTCCACTGCAGACACTCCTTGGCATACGTTAGTCGTCTCTCGGACAAATATAGTTGATCAGGCTATATTCTTCCCAGTTCCGATTACATGTCCCAAGGCGTACCTGCACTGCACAACTTATTTATAATACTTCTAAATTTATTCGATATGAACTGTTATTAGTATGAAATGAGTGCATGCTTACCTAAAAACTAAATAAATTTAATTTCAAAAGTATGCCTCTTCTCAGAGTGTTTTTGCCCAGTTGAGTTTATAGTTGTATACCAAAAAGAATGGTTTTGATATACTTAATTCCCTATAAACAAAGCTCTGATACCAATCTGTCACACCCCCAAACCAGAATGGTGGAAACGTTCGGGGGCGGAGGACGTCATGTTCAGTATCATAACAGTTCATAAAAAGGAAAGTACACACCACCATATATATTAAAGTTTCCAAAATGTTTACATAATTGTATTCGTTACATGTTCAAAAGTTAAATACATAAACATCTTTCAAAAGAAGTAATTAACGTCAGTACGTTAATCCCCAAAAGTTGATTTCCAAACCTGCTTAGCGGTTCCCTGAGAATACAAGTTATTTCAAAGAGAAAGTGTCAACAATTAAGTTGGTGAGTTCGTAAGTGGTTTAGAAAAATTGAATGCCATTCCAAAATGGGTGTATGTTTTTCCAAGAAAATCCCTTATTTTCTTATAAAAGTATGAAATGCATATGAATATTCGTATTATAAGTTGTAAATAAATGCACCAGGAAAATCCCTTATTTTCCTATTAGTTGTTTGGTTTGTATACAGGAAAAACCCTTATTTCCCTAGCATAACTGGAAGTCTCTAAGACCGAAAATCGTAAGCAACCGACGTTCTTAAAAGTTGTGTCATAGTTTTATATAATAAAGCTATACGAAGATCGCATTTGTTAGATGAAGAATAGTTTTAATAGCTACTCGTTCACAAAAGCATAATACCATAATAATTGTATATCCGATGAGTTTTATAACCATATATACTAAACATAATATGTCTGTAGCGACGTTCTTCAAGCGTCGCAGCGTTATGACAACTGTCACCCCAAAGGACGGACTGTAGCTAACAGTCAGGGTGCGGGATCATGACTTCCCGTATAGATCTATACACATTTGACACGTTCTCCGAACGGGAGACTCTGGTTATAGACAGGACTTGCAGCATTACTTTCTAAAAAAAAAAAGTAGTGTTTGAAGATATACACGTCTCATGGATTCTCAACTAAGTCTGTATTAAAGTGATAGTTTTGTATGCAAAGTTTATCATTTTTCACAATGTTTGACAAAGCAAAATCATAAGTTTTTAGAATGTATAAAACGACTTAGCAATGAAAGGTACTTGGAAATCATTATATAGTTTGTATAAGTCTAATGCACGCAAAGTATGACGGGAGTTTTCCATAGTAGTAATGAATTCCAAGTGATTTATTCGATAAAACAAGTGAAGTGAAATTTTATAAAATACTCGATAATAACCGTATGTTTACTTGTATCACCCCCTAAAAGAGTATAAAATCATTTAAAATGTATTTAAAGTGTGTTTGAAAGGGGTATGAACTCACTTGATTGAAGTGGTTGATTTGAAGTAGTCGGGAGAAGAATCGAGCAGAACTTCGATAGGAAGAGTTGAAAACGGGGAAAAATCTTGGGATTCTCGGGAATCTAGGGAACACAAAACCTTCCTTCGGGACTTGAAGGTGAAAACCGGGGCTTCGGGAGGGCTTCGGGAGCTTAACCGCAGAGTTTCAGCACGAGAGATGGAAGAATGGAGCACCTAAACCCGGCACCCCAATAGTTGTATTTATAGGGGCATTTCTGGTGTGCCACGTCGTGGCTAAGGTTGGCCACATCGTGGGGAGCAAGCCTCATCCTATTCCATTGATTGGATGCTCTCAGTCACTTGCCGGGTTGCGGTCAAGCTGTGCCACGTCGTGGGGGCCTGACAGCCTCGGATTTTGGACCCCGAACTTCTAAAATCCGTAACTATCGCATACGAGCTCTGTTTTCGACGTTCTTTATATGAACGCGTAGCTGAAAATGTTATCTACAACTCTCGTTTACACTTCATCGGCAAATTTTGACTTTATTTTTAATTATTTATTTTTAACGGGCCGGGACACGAAAAGTCCGTTAAAAATCCATAACTTCTTCATCCGATGTCCGTTTTCATCAGACTTTTCGCCGTTGCGCTACTAATGTTGAGACCTTAGATTCTCATTTAGGTTGTTTTGGTCAAAAGTATCTCGAGCTCTATTTCGAGTTTTTAGCTGTCTACTGCTATACCCGAATCTTGGAAAAATCATAAGTTCCTCATACGAAGTCAGATTTGGACGTTCTTTTTATGTACGCTCACGGTTTGAGGTTATCTATAACTTTCATTTAGATACTTAAGGCTAAAAACTATTGTATTGAAACTTTGCGTTTTTCGTTTAATCGGTGTTGCCGGTTTTGTCGGAAATCTTAGAATGGTCATAACTTCTTCGTTATAACTCGTTTTTTCGTGTTCTTAGCATTTCTATAAACCTTGATACATTATCTAGCATAATAGACATCCCTATAGAGACTTTTACACAATTCATTTTTGAATTTAATTTCATTGTTTCAAAAGTAGCTACAATACTTGACTTTTTAGGTCATTACATAGAGTTGAAATATCGGGTTGTCACAGTAGAAATGGGTATTCGAAGCTTCTCGGGTATTCATTTTGCGGATTTCAAGGGGGGGTTGGTCCTTATTGAGTGAGCTCATTTGGAAATTGAAGTTGAGACATCCAATCCTAACTTTGAGGGGGAGAATGTTAGGGTACAAAGTTCTCCTTGGATATGGCTTACCCTCTTGTATGTGTAATGGGTTGAGTCTTTCCTATAGATAGGAAGTGAGTGACTCCCATTATGAACGACCCCATTTTGGAGTGATTAGTTTTAGTGAGAGAATATTCAGTACCCACTTGTACTCTTACCATTCTAATGGAGCTTAAAACTAATTTTGTTTACTCATTGTGTTCTTGATGCTTGCATGATTCACTAGATATTTACTATTTTGCACATGTCATTATAATCTGGGTCACTACAATATACATGACATATCGAAACTCTAATTGCCTTGTAAATAGATAACATATATAAAGTGCTCAGCTTTCGATACTCACAGACATATAATGAAAGATATAGCTTTCAACTCTCACTACCTACTTTCGACCCTACAACCATGACCTTCTTATTATTCAATTTAGACCAAGAAACAATCTTATTGTGTGTGTGTATGTGTATATATATATATATATATATATATATATATATATATATATATATGTATATATATATATAGGTAAAGGTTCAAATGAGAACAAAAAAAGGTTAAGAACCGTAAGAACCTCCAATTTTATATGTTTATAAAGGTTTTAGGGTTAGGGTTAAGGGTTAAGGGTTTAGGGTTTAGGGTGTTTATAAAGGGTTTAGGGTGTGTATAAAGGGTTTAGGGTTTAGGGGTTAGGGGTTAGGGGTTAGGGTTTAGGGTTTAAGGTTTAGGGTTTCGGGTTTAGGGTTTCGGGTTACCCTAAACCCTTTATAAACATCTAAAGTTAGAGGTTCTTACGATTCTTAACCTTTTTTGGTTCTCATTTAAACCACTCCATATATTATATATATATATATATATATATATATATATATATATATATATATATATATATATAATCTAAAGGAGCTTAGAAACAGTATCTTTTTTGGCTTTAGGTTTTTTCCACAAATGTTTGGTGAATTTGATACTTTTCGTCCCTAAAGTAAAAACTTTTATATTTTTGTGTGTTGATTAAGTTTTTGTGCTTTTACGTTTTTACCATAAATCTTTAGTGACTTTGACACTTTTAGTCCTTGTAGTGAAAATTTTTATATATTGCTGTTTTTGTCATAAATCTTTAATGAATTTAACATTTCCCGTCCTTATAGTCAAAATTTTTATATTTTGACATAAAAAAACACAAAGATTCTTTAGAATTTTATCACAATATTTTCCCAACTTTGACAATTTTAACATTATTGCCACAACATTTTTGGATTTTCTCCACCAGTGTCTCTTCTTTTAGTTGTACACTTTTGACATCTAATTTTAGGGGTTGTCGATTTTCTTCCATTTTTGTGGTGATTTACAATTTCAGCACATATCTTTTAAAATTTACCGATTTTTCTTATATTACCCCAAAAGTGGCGTAACCACGGGTTTTTTACTAGTTAATAATAAACGAGCCATCAAGAATCTATATGCTCTTAATGAAACCAGATTGTTCCTTACTTCCCAAGTTGCCAATCACCACACACAACATATTTGCAAGAATTTTTCCCATAATTTTATATTGACATCCTATAAGACTTATGACATGAAAATCTTTAACAAATTTTGCATCAACAACCTTTGTAATAAGAGCAATAAAAAAAGATTACAACCTTTAGGAAAACTTTGAAACTTAATTGAGCATGCGTTTAGTATTTTGAAAGCATGATTCGTTAGCTACCCAAAGGAACATTACCATTGTTGTTTCGAGCTACATAATGTTATAAGGAAATATAGTTTAAGCAATGAGTTATTTACTCAATCCGATAGTGACCATTATTTCTTGTCTTATCCCGTATAAAAGTGGTGTGACTTGTGAGAGGGTTGCCTAGCCACCATATGTTTTCATTTCCTTTAAATTATTTTAAGACTCATCTTCTTGACGATTTGAGGGAGCAATAGAACCATTCAGATGCCCATCTCCTCATATATGTCGTCTTCAACAATTTGTCTTCACCAACCCACCATTCCCCCTTCCTGACACTTCATCTTCACTGGTTCCTGCATCTTCATCGCGCATCATCAGGTTACATTCAACTCCCTTTCTTCTTATCAATCCTCTATCTCCTTTCTCATCGTTTCCTTGTTTGCATTCATTACTCATTACTGATCGGTTTTCGTCCTTTTTTTTTTCTGCCAATAAAACCAATTTGATCGATTTCACAATGTTCACTAATAGCTTCGCTAATTTTAGCTTCGATAAATTATTTCTTCTATGAAATTTGGCTTCTCTTGTTAACGCTTTGCCACCATATGTATGCCTACGTCACCACCACCAAAACCGGAAACCGAATCTCGAAATTACAATGAGTTTTAGCTCCCAAATCCAATTATTCGGCAGCCATGAAAGCACCCTCTGTGGTCGTCATGTATCTCTCGACCTCTTCCCCATTGTCTGTATATATAAAATCAATTCATTTATATACAAAAATTAAACTCCAAGGTGTAAAAAGAACCCTAATTCATATACAATCATGCATTAAGGCATAACTTCATGAAGTACAAAAGAAAAAACAGTAACTACTAGCTATTCTTTTATAATTTTTGCACGAATGATTTCATGTTGATTTCTGCAGAGTGGAAAAGAATCTAGGGTTTGGGATGACAACAAAATCAGAGAGGTTTTCTTCTGATTTTGTGATGGGAGGTGCAGCAGCCATCATATCAAAAAGTGCAGCAGCTCCAATTGAAAGAGTGAAGCTTTTACTACAAAATCAAGGAGAGTTATTGAAGAGAGGTCAACTCAAAAAACCATATACAGGGGTTGGTCAATGCTTCAAAAGGGTGTTTAAAGAAGAAGGCTTTTTCTCATTTTGGAGGGGTAATCAAGTCAATGTGATTCGATATTTCCCAACTCAGGTAACTCATTAGCATTTCTTGTTTTCAGCTGTATAATTTCAAGATTCCGAAAACTAAAACACCTAACACAATTACACAACTCAGGTAAAGAAATGATTAGTAAGTAATTCTTGTTTTAGGAAGTGAGAAAATCGGTAATAGGTTCCTGAAGAAACTATTTTTGAAAAATATCCGTAGGCTTTCAATTTTGCATTCAAAGGTTACTTCAAAAGTGTATTTGGAAGGTCAAAAGAGAGAGATGGATATATGAAGTGGTTTATTGGGAATGTTGCTTCAGGAAGTGCTGCAGGAGCCACCACTTCATTATTTTTATATCATTTGGATTATGCAAGAACTCGATTAGCAACCGATTCATCAGGCATTTCAAGAAATCATAAACACCAATTTAATGGACTTTTTGATGTTTATAGCAAAACCCTTGCAACTGATGGAATTAGAGGCTTATATCGTGGATTTGGGATTTCAATTGTGGGGATTACTCTTTATAGAGGGATGTATTTTGGTTTATATGACAGCTTGAAACCTGTTGTCTTAATTGGATCATTTCAGGTATGCCTTTTTTAACCATTTTTCATCTATAATATGTGATTTATTTTTGGTTTGTATGCATTTTCTTGTAAAGTTTGTGTTTTTTCTGCATTTCTTGCATCATTTTGGTGTAAAGGAATAGTATGACACCAAATTTGGTGTTATACTATTCTTTTTAAACCAAAATGTTGTAAAAGTTTCATGTGTTGATTTTGGTCCCTCGGGTTTTATGTTTATTTATTTCTAGCTTATTAAAGAAGACTAGGTATATTGTAAATATGTTTTTTTTTATTTAAAAAATGTATGTCTGATATTTTTATAAATGCATGTGTGATATTTATATAGAAGTGTATTATAAATAAATGTAGTTTTTAATGTAACAAATGTTTTGATGTTACTAAAATAACAAGTTATTCAAATTAATAATATACACATAACTTAAAAGCAATCTTAGAATTTTAAATAATGGCTTTTCTAGAGAGTTAACAAATCTTAAGGGCTTTCATGGAAATTTCTATGAAAAGTTAACAATTCTTTGATGGTTTTTTATGGAAACTTTAACAAAATACAAGGGCTTTCATAGCATTTTCACTGATTTTTTCAGCAATATCGTCATTTTCTCGTAAAAGGGTGTGATTTTTTTTCTGCTTTATAGTCATTTTCTTGTAAAATGTGTGATTTTTCTGCCATATATAAGCATTCTCTTGTAAAAAGACGTGATCCTTTTTCTTCTTTATACACATCTTGTAAAAAAATGTGATTTTTTCTAACTTTACTCATTTCTTGCAAATAGTGTGATTCTTTCTACCCTTGTGATAAGCATTTTCCTTTTAAAGATTTAATTTTTTTTCTGCTATATTTCCATTTTCTTGTAAAACGTGTGATTTTTTCTTGAAAAGGGTGTGATTTCCTTCTACTCTATAACCATTTTCTTGAAAAAGTTTTGATTTTTTCTCTGCTCTGTAAGCATTTTCTTGTAAAAATATGTGATTTTTTCTGCTTTATTTGCATTTAGTTATAAAAATTGTGATTTTTAACGATTTTCTTGAAAAGGGTGTGATTTCTTTCTACTCTAAAACCATTTTCTTGAAAAACGTGTCATTTTTTTTCCTTCTAACCTCTAAAAACAATCCGCAGGACAATTTTATCGCAAGTTTTTTCTTGGGTTGGAGTGTGACAACGTTTTCTGGTGTTTGTGCTTATCCATTTGACACAGTGAGGCGAAGAATGATGTTGACTTCTGGTCAACCCTCAAAATATCATCATGCTATTCATGCAATAAATGAGATCATTCGATTGGAGGGTTTCTTGGCATTATATCGAGGGGTTACTGCAAACATGCTTGTTGGTGTAGCTGGGGCTGGAGTTCTTGCAGGATATGATAAATTGTATCGAATTACATACAAAAGTAGTCATAATTTGGAGCATCAAAAAGTCTTGTAGTTAAAAGTTGAAAAAATGGAGATGATTTTGGCTTAATTCTATATGGATTTACTAAAAAGAAAGAAATTGAAATGGTATTGGAAGGAGAAAGGTCATGGATTTGATATATGTATAGCTTGATATGTAATTGGTGTGATTCATTTGTGACACTTTCAATTAATTTTGTTATGAAATTGTATAGTTTCCATTTTGGTTATTGCTTCTTTTTATCTTGAATAAATTACTGAAATCGTCCCTGTGGTTTGGTTAAAATTGCACGTTTGATCCCTAACTTTTTTTTGCACTCGGATTGTTCCTGTGGTTTGATTTTGTTGCGTTTTTCGTCCCTGTGGTTTGATTTTGTTGTATTTTTCGTTCCTTACATACATAAAGTTAGGGATCAAACATGCAACTTTTACCAAACTATAGGGACGAAAAACGCAACAAAATCAAACTACAGGGACGATCTGAGTACCAAAAAAAGATAGAGACCAAACGTGCAATTTTGACAAAACTACAGGGATGATTTCAGTAATTTACTCTTTTATCTTTGAAGACTTTTTGTAACCAAAAGCTAAATGTGATAGATTGGGTTGGGCTTGGTGGGCTTAAACAAGATGAGGGCCTTTATGTCTTTTCATAGATATGAAATCAAGAGCGACTTGTCCCATGTTTTCTATATTGTTGCAAGATAATTAGATTGATTTGAATTGAATTAGACTCGGTTAAAGTTGAGGGAATCTTTGGTTTGTAGGATGTATTTAAAAAAAAAAAAAAAAAAAAAAAAAAAAAAAAAAAAAAAAAAAAAAAAAAAGAATCTTCAAATGAATTGGAACATGGAATATGAAGTAATGGGATCTCTAGGAATCATAATTATTTTTTACACGTCTACAATCGTACTTATTTATGTTTTATTTTTAACGTCAGGTAGCTAAACCAAAATGTTGAGCTACAAAAGAAACATGATAATATTCACATATATTTAAGCAACCTCTTAAAAGTTAAAGACTTAAATCGATATATAACAAAAAAAAAAAAAAAATGAAGGGCTAAATACATAAAAAGTTGATAAAAAAACACTATCTTTTGCAATTTTGTGATTCAAACACTATAATTGTCAGACTTTGTTCTGTTTACCACTGCTATAAGTGGTACAAATAGAAAATTTTGTTGCTTTAGTGGAATATTTGTTGTCAAAATTTTCAGAAAATCCACTAAACTTTGACGAAAAAAATCATATTGCGACCAATTTAACCTATTATACTAAAGTGCTAAACATAGAAAAAATAATCCAACTTAGTTTGACTTTTATTGGTGAAAGTAATTAAATTATAAAACAAAGAGTTAAATGTAAAAAAGTCATTGCAGTTTTGTCTTTTTCTCTTTAAAGTTAGCCTAGATTGTTTTGATACAATTAAATCGCCATCGATTTTTTTTGAAGCATGATATTAACTTTTTATACATTTAGAAGGCCTCGCTTACTAGACTTGATCTTATTAAAGTTCTTGGTATCTAGGTTAATTACCGGTTCGATGTTGTTTTTAATTTGATATGAAAAGAAATAATTGTCTTATATCAGATATATAATTTAATTAAAAAATTAAATATCATTAATTAAAAATATTTGAATTGTAGTTATGAGAGTTTAAAATAAAAATAGATAAAAATAAAAGAACTTTGTTATAAAATATTTTTCTCACAAAAATAAACCAATTTAAATATTATCTAAAAATATGAAGAGTTAATATTAAAACTAGAATAATATAGGAGTTTAATTTATTAATTAGAAAAACATAGAAAATTTTGTCGATTTCAAATGAATGTAATTAAAGTATTGTTGCCGATAAATATATTAAAAAACGAGACTACTTTTAAATAAATAAAAAAGAATTAACTATTTGTAATAATTGAATAATGAATTCCAAAATCATACTTAGTTAAATAAATTTGCTGCAAACCTAATTCCTTTAGATGAGATGTTGAATGGTTGTTCTTGGCCGGAGAAAAATCAAAGAGAAACCCGTCACCACCACCGTGAGGTGGTGGCTACCACCTTCTGCCGCCTTTTATTGTAATAAAAAACTAACCATCTGTGAGATGCAACAGAGAAATTCTGGCAATCGGCGTCCATCTGGAACCGATGACTGATTTCTCATATAGAATGGTCGTCGACACTAGTATGTCCTTTTTTCTTTAGTATTTACATGTATACAATGCAATTATCGTTTATAATTTCAAGTCTTTATTTATTTGGATCTTAACTTTGGGATATACAAAGGTAGCCAAGGGGAAATCTTCACTCTCCAAAGTTCTTGTGATTCAGGTACTTATATGCACGTCCATTCAAAAGATGGGCGATAAGGGCGAGTCTATGGTCTAAGGGGCCAATTTTTTTTTTTTTTTTTTTTTATAGAAATTGTTATATTTAGAAGATATTATAAATAATTTTTTTCAATTATTGAGTTATTATAAAAAACATGACGGCATTTGTGTATTTTAAGGGCTCATATTTTTCTCTCGCCTTGGACCCAAAATATATTTGGAACGGCCCTGCTTATATGTACTATTTTGCTGCTTCTTGTTTCGTATAATTTATTAAAATCTGTGACAACCCGATATTTCGAGACAATGTAATGTAAAACCAATCGAATTTCGGTCAAAATATAACTTTCCTAAAATCTTATTTGGGTTAAATAAAGTATTATGAATCATATCAAGGTTTTCGTACATATAAAGAAACCTAAAATCCGAGTTATAACGAAGAAGTTATGACCAACCGAAGATTCTCGGCAAAACCGGCAACACCGATTAAACGAAAAACGCGAAGTTTCAATACAATAGTTTTTAGCATTAAGTATCCAAATGAAAGTTATAGATAACCTCAAACCGTGAGCATACATAAAAAGAACGTCCAAATCTGACTTCGTATGAGGAAGTTATGATTTTTCCAAGATTCGGGTATAGCAGTAGACAGCTAAAAACTCGAAATAGAGATGAAGATACTTTTGACCAAAACAACCTAAATGAGAATCTAAGGTCTCAACATTAGTAGCGCAACGATGAAAAGTCTGACGAAAACGGACATCGGATGAAGAAGTTATGGATTTTTAACAGAATTATGGCGTCCCGGCCCGTTAAAAATAAATAATTAAAAATAAAGTCAAAATTAGCCAATGAAGTCTAAACTAGAGTTGTAGATCATGTTTTTAGCTACGCGTGCATATAAAGAACGTCGAAAACGAAGCTCATATGCGAAAGTTACGGATTTTACAAGTTCGGGGTCCAAAATCCGAGGCTGTCAGGCCCCCACGACGTGGCGCAGCTTGGCCGCGATCCGGCAAGTGACTGAGAGCGTCCCATCAACGGAAGAGGATAAGGCTTGCTCCCCACGATGTGGCCAACCTTAGCCACGACGTGGCACACCAGAAACAACCCTATAAATAGAACTCTTGGGGTGCCGGGTTCAGGTGCTCCAATCTTCTCTTTCTCGCGCCGAAACTCTGCGTTTAAGCCCCTGAGACCCTCCCAAAGCCCCGGTTTTTCACCTTCAAGTCCTGAAGGAAGGTTTTGTGTTCCCGAGATTCCCAAGATTCCCGAGAATCCCGAGATTTCCCGCGTTTTCAACTCTTCCTGTCGAAGTTCTGCTCGATTCTTCTCTAGATTATTTCAAATCGACCACTTCAATCATGTGAGTTCATACCCCTTAACTAATGTTTTAAACTACATTTAAATGTTTTATGGGGGGGGGGATACAAGTAGAATCATGCTAGGATTATATCAATCACATGCGATTAATAAGTAGAATTACGCTAGTTATTACATCAATCACATGTGATTAATATACAACATTCAAAAGATTTGGCTACTCATTAGCCATTTTACCAAACAGTTTCCTTCAAATGACTTTTTATAAACATTTTATATGTTTTAAACTCCTTTTTACACTGTACAGCTTACTCCGTACATTACCTTTCAAGCTTATTTACAACTGTGTTTCAATCAAATGTTTCCTTATACTCAAAACTGTTTTATCATACTTATGCCTTCAAATTGTTTTATAGATCGACATCAAGTCGATCTTTTCTTAAAATAATATTTATGTTTCAAATGTCTTACAAAATTTATTTACGCTTTTATATTATAAATTGCATGCCTCTATATGTATAGTTATATAAGAAATGTTTAAAAGACTTAGGAAGGCTATCCACCCTATTTCCTTTTCGCGCCTTGAGATGTGGTCTGGTGGGATATTGGGTATTCATCCGAAAGTCGTTTAAATATTAGTTATATATCTTGTGTACATATATAGTCATAAAAGGTCCTTCCAGTTCAACATATGCCCTTGGGTAGCAAGGGTATACATCCATGTTCATACTTACCAGATAGATTACTAGTAAACTACCATATGGGTAGTTTAGGAAGATACTAGAACAATTACTAGAACGCGATATCATACAATGAGTCAGTTCATTCATGAGTCAATACTTTCTAGAACGATTACATTACTATACTTGCTAGGTAGAGAGCACGTACATTTCAGCTAGAACAGTTCGTTACATTACACTTACATTAATACGTTAATAAAATTGTGATCCACTGTATGGGAGCATGCCTTAATTGTCATGACCCGGGTTGTAGCCAGAGTCTCTTGGAGGGAGAGCATGAGTTTGCATATAGATCTATACTGGATTGACTATCCTACACCTCGCTGCTAGCTACAGCGGGACCGACAGGTCTGCGGGTGCCAAACGTCATACCTTATTTTTCGACTATATGTTGTCGTTGTTACCAGTCGATAGTATGGTGCAATTTATCACATAATGTCTTAATATAAATCCGGTTTAAGGTAATTAGTACAGCAGTAGTTCTTATAGCGCTACGTTTTAGTACTACATTAATTTTCCCTGTTCAGATATTTAGTGATCTTTTCACTTAAACTATAAATGTAAAAACTATATTTTGATAATGATAGTTACACTTGGGAAAATTACACACTTTTATAAGAAACGAGCATACAAAAC